GCTAAAAATAGAGGGAAGTCTGAATCTTTATGCAATTGTATGAATGAGGAAAATCAAACCATTAACTTTTATATACAAACAAATGAGTAATAAAGTTTTGAGTTCTGTGTGTAATGCGGTTTGGATTTTTCAGCAAGAAAAAATGTACAAGATTAATTTCATTCACAAAATGAACAACAATTATATTTAAAAAAAAAAATAAACTATACATTTTTTTGATGAAAAAAAATTAAATTAAATAACTTACAATTATCGGATTGACATAATTTTTTATGTAGATAAAATACATGAAATATCTAACAAAATGAATGATTTAAATAATTAAAATGAGACCCGCGATGGATCCCCTTTTTTTTCTAAGCCATTCAAATTTCACCATCAATTTTTTTTAAGTGAGATTTCACTGTATTGAAGCTGACACTTTAGTTTTTTTAGAATAATGGTAATGAGAATGAGACAGTTTTGAAAATGCATAGCTTGTCTATTTAGAGAATGTAAATTACAAAATATATATATATATATATATATTGGCATCATCTCATAAAATCATAATTATAACTGTTGCAATGGATTCAGAAGTTGTAATTTTTGAACATGTAACTAAATCAACATTTCATTGAGGCATTTAAACAAACTTTTCAAATTCACAAACAACTCAACCCAAAATTCTACAAATCAATAGCCACCGCAAACCCACATACTTATAAATCATTAAAAAATAAGAAGAAAAAAAAAAACTAAAATACAGATTTCTATTTCTCCAACTATCTTCAGTTTTCAGATTGACTCCTATTTTCTGGTAAAATCTTGTCAATGACTTTCAAATCAACGAACGATGTGAGTTGCTATACCAAGTGGTGGCAATAATAGTAGACGATGACGGTGGTGAACGGTTCTGGTGATTATCAGCGCCGGCGGTGGCTTTTGTTTGTTATGCAAGTGTGAAGAAATGGAGAGAGAGAGAGAGAGAGAGTGTGAGGAGATTGAATGAGGAAGAGAGAGAAATGTGTACATAAGTATAGTTAGGTTTGAAATTAGAATTTTCAAATTTTAAAATAGGATCTAAAGCGGCAAATTAAAATAATAAAAAAATATTTTTAATTTGTTTGAGTTGGACGTTAACGTCGGTGGCTTGCAACTGTGAGTTAATCTGAACCGTTGGATCTATTTAGATGTATCTTTACCGTTACCAGTAGGAAAGTAAGCAGAGAGATTGAGAGGATGTTAACTCGTCGGTGTGAGCGTAAGGGGTGGAAAGTGGAAGAATAATTTTTTTTTTTAAATAAATGAAAACAATTCATTAAAATTTTAATAAATTTTATAAATTGTTTATATTTTTTCAAACAAAAGTAGACAATTTTTTTTTTTTTTTTTTGAACAGAACAAAAGGAGACATCAATCAAAGTTTTGTTTTCAACTTTACAATTTTTGTAAACAAAAATAGAAAATCATAAATATAAGTACTTTAGGCCATATTTAATTCACAAAATTAATAGTGAAGGTATTAATAATTCTATCAAATTAGCATGGTATTCACTATCCAATTAGATTAGTAGGATAAATTATCCCCTTATCCATTGTTTGATTTGCATTGGATAAAAAAATATATGAATGTAAGATTATAACTATATTTATCTTCTTTTCCAATCTTACTCTCCATCGATGTTTCTTCACAATCTTTACTTTATCAAAATTTCTTCATAAATGTGATTTTGAAAAAAATTATAAATGAATAAATAAAAATACAAAATACAAAGGTCATGTTTGGTTTGTTTTTTAAATTTAAAAAAATATATATAAACTAGTTAGATAAAATAAATATCAAAAAATATTTTTAAATTTTTAAAAATTATTTTTAGTCTTCTAAAATATAAAATTATATAAAAATAATAAGTGTTTTAATTTTTAGTCAAGGGTAAAAGAGACTTTTTATTTTATTTCTCTACTCAGGATATATAATCTCACCCCTACCCCATTACTAATAATCCTACAAATTTATTGGATTAATTATCTATTAGATTAATAATCCTAAAACAAAATTTCAAAACAAATATAGGATTATTGGGCCACAGATTAAAAATCTCAATCACATACTCTAATCCTGTCAATCAAATATGCCCTTAACTTATTATTATTTTTATTATAGAACTACAAAAACTGGATCAAAATAAAGAAAACAAAGATATAACCAAACTCCAAACATATACTGATATGTTTCGAATGAGCTGTATTATAAGGTAAGGAAGGTAAATGCGAACAATTTTCCTCATCCACTTGTTAATATTGCAAATCTGTGTTACAAAATACTTTCAACAGTATATAAAAATCAAAAAGTGTTGCAAAATTAAAAAATATTTTTAAATTTAGTAAAAAGTGTCTCGAGAGATCTACCTTTTTTTTTTCTTTTTTTTCTGAATAAGTTGTTAGCAAGACCCTGTATAAAATATATTAAAAAAGCATTTACATAAGGTTTATCTGTATTTAATACTTATTTAGACTCCGTTTGTTTCAACGTAAAATATTTTACATAATTTTTTTTATAAATTGATTTTACATAGAAAAAACGTTTTGTTTTTGTTTTCGGTGTTCGGTTAACACTTGAAATAAAAATATTTTATTGCTTGAAAGAGAAATTTTGATTCAACAAAGTGTTATTTATGAGTTTTTAGTGAGCTAAAATTTTTATTTGAAAAGGTAGTGAGTGAGAGTCAACTTTGTAAAAATTGACTTACGAAAATTTTAAAAGTAAGTCATTTTTGAAAAAATGATGCAAACATATTTTTTTTAGGCTTTGTTTGTTTCGACGTAAAATTTTTTACACAAAAGAAAAATATAATTTTTTTTTCGGCGTCAGGTTGACATTTGAAACAAAAATATTTATTACCTAAAAGAGAATTTTGATTTAATAAAGTGTCATTTATGACTTTTTATTGAGCTAAGATATTTATTTGAAAAAGTTAAATGTGTTGAAAAGGTAATAAGTGAGAGTTAACTTTGTAAAAGCTGATTTACGAAAATTTTAAAGATAAGTCATTTTTGAAAAAATAATGCAAAAATATTTTCTTTAAAAAATATTTTACTTACTTTTTGGTCAACCAAACAACGAAAAATGAGTAAAAATATTTTACATTAAAACAAATAGAGCCTTTAAAAATACTTTACTTGCTTTTTATTTAACCAAACAACAAAAAATGAGTAAAATATTTTTAATACATTAAAAAATGGAGCCTAATTAAAAAAAAAAAACTCTGTATTTATTTCTCGCTAATGATTTGTTGCAACGATCGTAATAATTCATTAAATTCAATAACAATAAATAAATAAAAAAAAAAATTTGCGCGCAAAGGGATGGCAAAACAACAAAACTTCCCAACAAATTGCTATTAAAGTACTTGAATACGCCTACCTGCACACAATTCATACCAGATAATTTTTAGCCAAGTAATGAATACATGCCTATAATTCATCTTGAAAAATATCACATATAATTTTATTTTTCACTCTAAAATAGAAGTGAGTGAATTTTATACGCAATTATAAATATAGGCCCCATCCATTTGTGTACAGACTTTTTTTTTTTTTGAACAAAAAAAAGATGCTTTGAGGGGTTATTACGGCATCCGTAGGCCTAGGCGTCTGAATAATTGGTTGTCGGCCTGATTTAACCCAACCCAAAGGAAATGACCCATTACCGAGGCACCAGTGGAGCTTATCAACTATCCCTAGCAAGACCAAAGTATAACGCGAGATCTTAGAAGAGAGCCACTAAAAAATTTAGTATTTGTGTACGGAGTTAAAAACACTTAAGTGACAAATGAGATTATAAATGTAATGGGGTTTACGTTATAATTGCATGAGACCTGATTGAGACCCCCACACTCCCCCCAACCCTACCATCCCCACACACACATGGGGGTTGGTGATTGGAAGAAAAGAAAAAAAAAAAAAAAGGCTGACCAAAAAATTTGGCCAATCTCAATGGACTAGGGTCCTGGGGGTGACTTCAGTGGGGTCCGAATCATTAATCTAATTGCATATGGAACAAAAAAATGAAAATTAGAGCCGTGCTTATATCTTAGAGTGGGGGAAAAAATAATAAAAAAAATATATAGCATTTTCCATAAAAATTGGAGCAGTTTTTTTTATTTTTTTTTGACTAATGATAAGATATTAGTGAATTAGTAAATTAGATTAGAAAGAAAAAATTGCAATAGCTCAATTCACTCGAATACCGAACCTCTAACCATTGACTATTCCAAAGTATATGGATGGCCAATTGCTTTGTCCAAATGTGGATTGGATTGTCTAGTTGGGTCTCTAGGCCCAACTATAATGTATAGGCTTCTATGAGGATGTCATTTGTGAAATTTTTTTTTGATAACAATACTCATATATATATATTTATATTTTTCTTTAATAAATGAATGGTAAGATTAACTTTAAAAATAAATTATTTATTTATTCAAAACTTATATAGTAAAAATTATTGAATTAATATTTTTTTCATACGACTTACAGAATAAAATTAGTCAAAACTTATCAATGCAAGACACGGCTCAACCGAACATTCCGGTTCACAAATACAAAAGACGAAAATCACGCATTGTTTTTTTTTTTTTAGCATTGTTTTTTTTTTTTTAATTATTTAAATATAAAAAAATGATATATAAGTCTATTTTTTAGACTTATTTTCTAAATTAAATGATATATAAGTGATATGATTAGTTGATAATTGAAAGTATATCAGAGAATATATTACCTTAAATATCCTAATTAATTATCATATCATTAAATTTAAAAATTGAATTTTATTTTTAAACTTATATGGAAATGTCCTTTAAATATATTTCTATTTCTATACATAAATTATTGTCCACGTAACTTTGCTCAAAATATTTGGCTATTGATGGGTGATCATTGACAGACAAATGAAAAGATGGCAACGCAATAAAACTCCGTAACAAGTGTTATTAAATTTGACAGCTAAATCACCTCTCATCACATCTCTTCTCTAATAAAGCATCTCACTTCCATTGCCATTGATCCCATCACATTACTCATGGGTTTCTCTTTCTCTCAAACCCTTCCTCCATGGCTTCTCACAATCACCCTCCTAACCCTCCCTCTTCTCTACACCCTCTTTACCCTTCTTGCCAAACAGAACAAAAACACAGCCAAACTCCCTCCAAGCCCTAGAAAGCTTCCCATCATAGGCAACCTCCACCAAGTTGGTGAAATCCCTCACTACACATTCTGGAAACTATCACAAAAACTTGGACCCATCATGCTTCTCCAACTAGGTCAAGTCCCAACCCTAGTGGTCTCAACCCCAGAACTAGCTAAAGAGGTCCTAAAAACCCGTGACCTAGATTGTTGCACTAGGCCTCTCTCTCGTGGCCAAAGAAAACTCTCCTACAACTTTCTTGACCTAGCTTTTTCTCCATATGGAGAGTACTGGAGAGAGATGAGAAAGCTGTGTGTCATAGAACTCTTCACTGCCAAAAGGGTTCAATCATTTTGGCATGTTAGGGAATCAGAGGTTGAGCATTTGATTTCCACCATAGCCAAATCGGCTCCGAACCCGGTTGATCTGAGTGACTTGATATTCTCTGTCACGAACAATGTGATTGGGAAGATAGCTTTTGGGACGAGTCATAGAGGGAACCAATTCGAGTATGGTAAATTGAAAGATATAATTGACGATGCCATGACTTTGCTGAGTGGTTTTTCGCCGTCGGACTTTTTTCCTGGAGTTGGGTCGGTGCTGGATTTGGCAACGGGGCTTCAATGGAAGCTTGAAAGGTGTTTTAAGAATCTTGATACGTTTTTTCAGAAGGTTCTGGAAGAACATCTTGATCCTACTAGGCCCAAGCCGAAGCATGAAGACATCATTGATGTTATGCTTGGTTTGGCTAAGGATCGGACCACTGTTCTCCATCTAGCTAAAGATCATATGAAGGCTGTCCTCTTGGTATGGTATTTCTAATTTTTCTACCTTTTTGGGGTTAAAAGTTAATTTTTTTTTTTATTTCTTTATATGCCGACTTTGTTTTTAAAATAGTAAAATGTTATAGAAATGACCAAATTCCTGTTTTAGTAACGAATGTATCCTGCAGAATGGGTGTCACGTGAATGACTAAAAAATTTTGGACGAATTTTTAATTTGTATAATATTATTTTTATTTTTAAAAATATATACTGAATTAAGTCCAAAAAAATAAAAAAAAAAAAAATGAGAGTATACATGTCAGTACCATGATGAATCTTTTTTTTTTTTTTTGTAATAATGAAGAAGAAAATTTTTTAACACCCCCTAAAATATCATTTTTTTAATTTATCCAAACTACTTGAATTTTTGCATCATTATTGATTTGTTTAAAAGGCCAACTAACTAAAATTTCTCATTTTGTTGCATCAGTATGAATGTGTTGATGGATACTGCATTCTTTTAAGAATGGATTATTTTAATCAATAATGTTAGGTGGTCTGAAAAAACATAGCTCGAAACACTCAAAACGATGTCGTTTTAGATATAAAACGACGTCGTTTTGACACATTCGAGCCATTCGAACCACAAAAATTTAGGTCACCAAACATTTTTCATATTTATAAAAGGCAAATAGAAAGAAAAATTGACTTTTTAATGGAGACTTTTTAATTTTTAATTTTTAATTTTTTTGGACTATTTTCTTACTTCCCAGACAACCTACTTTCTTAAATTCAATTATGTACATATATACTTTGTTGTATGTTTGGCAATCAAATTATTTGCCCATAATTTGAGTTAAATCAATATTTGTTAATCTTCTAATAAAGGGATATGGACCCTATAATTAAAAATAAAAATGACATAAATTTAATTTTTTGAGTTATAATTGAAATAAAAATTGTCATAATTAAACACAATATGAGGTATAATTAAAAAATTTATGAGTCATAACTAAAATAATATGATAATTAAAGAAGAAAATTTGAAAATTTGGTATAACTAAAGAAAAAAATGACATAACTAGATGTCCATATGAAACACCCTTTTTAAAGGGGTGTATATTAGAATTTCCTAATAATCTTATGTAAAACTGTATTTAATTTGCGTCAGGCCTCGTTTAGAAATATGTTGTTTTAGTAATTTTTTGACTTTTTACAAAAAAATGTATAGAAAAATAAATAGTGATGTGACGATTTATGATAACTTTTTGGCTTTCAAAAGAAATAAATTTAGGACAAATTACACTGATAGTCCCTATATTTTACCCTTTGTGTCATTTTGATTTTTACACTTTTAATTGACTCAATTTTAATTCTTATTTTTAGATTTTGTTTCAATTTGGGCAAATTAATAATATCATTAGTGTTTTTTAAGAAAACTTATCACTAAATTTGTTGAGATTAACTAACTGAGTTGAATAAGTTTATAATTTTGCCTTTAAAAAATGGCAGGTGAAACTTATGTGCAGATTTTTCATAAAAAAAATATTAAGAGTTGTAATCAATTGAGTCAAATTGAAATAAAATTATAAAATTATGATTAAAATTGAATTAATTGAAAGTATATGAATTAAAATGACACAAAAAATAAAAATTACTATCATAATTTACCCAAAAATTTATGACAGCCTTTTTAAGAAAGATTCTTGCCCTGTTCGTTTCTTTTTAATTTTTTTACCAACTATAGAGTTTCGTTTGTGATGGGGTTGACTTTTTTACTTGTTGATTATTTTAATTTGGGATTAAAAAGTTTCATTTGGAATGGACTTGTTGACTTTTTTAATTTTTATAAAAAATAAAAAATAAAAAAAAAATAATTATAATTTAAATATGATATTTTATTTTATTAATTTTTTATCTTATTTTATCTCTTTGTGACTATTTTAACCTCTAGTCCCAATTTTTTTCATGCCAAACGAGGCTATCCCGTTATCTTTTTAATTTTATCCGTATCTCCGTTGCCCACTTCAAAATTGCCTACTTTTTTTTTGGGTACAAAAAATTACCTACTTTTAAAACTCCAATTGTCATACATATATTTTTTTAGGGTAAATTACAAATATACCTCTAAAATTTGATTAAAATATGAATCGCTTCTTATAATTTTAAAAATTACATTCCACCATCTAAAGTTTCAAATTTCATAACAAATAACTCCTTTTATAGTAAATCGTCATGTCAATTAACAATTTTTAATAATGTTAAAAATGTGTTTCAATTAATAATTTAGATAATTTTATTATTGTATTGGAGAATAATTATGAATTTCATTCTTTTAGTTAATTTTGTTAAATAATTTTTTTTAATAAAGGGGTATTTGTAATTTTCAAACCACATGGAGCAATCTGTATTTTAAGCAAATCTTAAGGAGTGTATTTGTAATTTACCCTATTTTTTTAGTAACAGTTGTGTTGTGTTATGAACGTGTCGGTTTTGCCGCTTTTTTTTTAAATTTTTTTTAATCAAGTGTCTGGATTAATTTAGGCGTAACTCAACTAATCTTAGAATTCATGCAAAGCGTCCCTTCATGTGGATCGGGTAAATTTCAGGCGGAGCCTATGGGCGTATCCCAGCCCTAAAAAGTTGATACCACACTCTCAGACTCCAAACTGCACCTACTAGGCCAACCCCTTGGGTATGGATATAATTGGTTTGGTACGGTCGGTATTTAGATAAAAAATTACACCGAACCGATAATGTCGGTTTTATTATTTTAAATACTGATACAGACTACTTCTCCTATCAAACCGTACTGAACCGAATCAACTAAAACGGTTCAGTTCGGTGTGGTTTAATCGGTCTAGGATCTTTCAAACTCGAGCCACTTTTACTAATCTACATAAAAATATTAAATTAGTTATTTGTCCACAATTTCAAATATATCAAATCCATCCATTTAATTACTTTTCAATTCCTAGATTAACAAAAATAAAAAAGTTAAAAAAATACTAAGATTTAAAGAATAATAAGTTAGAGTTAAGATATATATAATAAGAGTTTACAATGATAAGGTTAATAATTTATTATACTTTATTAATATCATTATATTGTTAGATTATATATATTATAAATACAATATATGTTAAAGCGGTTAGTTTCGGTTTAGTTCGGTTCATAAGGTGCTTAACCCGTTACCGATCCGAAAATCGAAAAAAAAAATCAAATTCAAAAATCACACAAATCGATTTTTATTATAAAAAAAAAGACCAAATATTGTTGGTTTGTTCTAGTTCAATTGGTATGGTCAATTTTTTTGATTTTTCTTACATTCCTACCCTTCGGATTGGTTTTGCTGCTGTTGGCCTACCCAGCGGCACTATTGGGCTTGTGGATCCTGTGGCGAGCGCTACATAAATGATGTGAGAAGTTGGATTTGTTAGGTTTATCAAGTTGATTATTCTCATAAAAAAATTTAATTTGATCGGATATAGTAATTGTGAATTTAAATTACATTTGTTTGATAAAATTGAACGGTCCACCTTATTTAAAAAGGTGACAGTTTATTTAATATAAATGCTATTAGAACTTACAATAATCTTAATTTTTTTATAAAAGTAATTTACTAAACGAACCCCCACATACCTTGGATCATTAATGTGGGCCTCAGCGTGAGACCTACAAACCCAACAACACAGTATTGTTGGGCTACCCAACAACAACAAAACAATATCATGACGATGTGAGTTTGTGATTATTATTATTCTTCAATCAATTTAATTATTTTTTATAAGGACGATGTGCTTTAAGGAATTATGATGCGCTTATGTATAATTTATTTTAGTAATACTACGCATTGAGATTTAATTATATAGAAATTATCTAAAATTATCATGTGAGTGTTTGATAAATTATTATTTGAGTAGGTTATTTTAATTTTTAATTATTTTAGTAGGCTAAAATTTTTGTGTTTGAGAAGATGGTTAGATTTTTTTTGTATTTAGATTTGATATTTATGAGAAAAAAAAGTAAAATGATTATGGATTTGATGTGACATTTTATCTTATTGACTATTTTAATATATTCTGTTTGTTTGTTTGTTTTTTTTTTTTTATATACCAATGACAATAGCAGCCCACCACCACCATATCATATGTGCATGCGTGCATGCGCTAGGACTATAACAAATAATACTTTTCTAACCAAAATGTATAAATATAAGACACTTATGCCCCGTTTGGTTTCCGAGTTATGGCTCGAACTGGAATTCCAAGTTATGGCTCCAGACTGGACTCACAGTGAACTCTCTCACACTAAACTCAAGTTTGTTTTCCTCTTTGACCTTGAAACTCATAGTCCCAACGAACTAAACGCCTCACATGAATGGATTCGTGTCTGAGCTGAGAGATAATATTAAGAAAATAATCTGTTTGGCTAATATTAAGAAAATAATCCGCCTGGCTTAAGAATGACCAGTCATCCAAGGATGTTCGGCCGAATAATCGACCGATCAACCGGTCAACTATATATATATATTTACTTGTTGGAGAATCTCGTAATCAAAGAGACTCTCAGGCTCCACCCTCCTGCCTCCCTCCTAATCCCCCACGAAACAATCCGGCAAACCAAGATCGGCGGTTACGACATCTTCCCCAAAACCCGAATCCTAGTGAATGCATGGGCAATTGGAAGAGACCCCAAAATCTGGGACAACCCAGAAGAGTTCATTCCAGAGAGGTTTGAAAACAGTGGGATTGACTACAAAGGCCAGAATTTCGAGTACCTGCCTTTCGGGTCCGGTCGGAGAAGCTGTCCTGGAATGACAATGGCGATCACTTCTGTGGAGTTCAATGTGGCGAACTTGCTGTACTGTTTTGATTGGAAGCTGCCTAATGGAATGGAAGTTGAGGATCTGAACATGGATGAAGAGTTTGGTCTGAATATCAGGAAGAAGGTGCCTCTGAAACTTGTGCCTGTCAAGTACAATTGGGAGGACTATAAAGGCTAAATGGAAGGGGACTTTTGGTTGTACTTGTGGTTGTGGTTGTAATAAAAATAAGTTTGCGTTGCGTAGTTTGGTTTGGCTTGGCTTTGCATGTTTTGTGTTTTTGTGTCTGTAATGCTTTTGGATTATAAATAATGGACACCCTCTGTTTGGAGTGTGCTTATGCAACATTTACTTGGTTTGGAAATATATTATTTTAACAATTTTTTGATTTATTATAAAAATATAAATAGAAAAATAAAAAAATAATATGACAATTTATAATGTTCTTTTGACTTTTTGTTTAAAATTTCAAGATGCAAAAGGAGGCTGCTTATAATGTACCATTGGTTTGTGATTATTATTACTAATTTGGCGCCACCATGTAGGCTGGTAAATGTGCTTTATGAAGCACACGAGAAATTGTCCAGATAATCATCACATAAATGAGATGTAATATTAGTGAAATTATAACTGAGATATAAAAGTAATGTTAGAGATTTTAAAAATTTTATCAAGATTTTTATTAAAGATCTTACATGAATGTGAACCTATATAGAACTCATTTGGTGTGAATCTCATATCCATATAAGATACTATAAAATTTTTATCATCTTTAACATTTTTCGATGTATAATCATCACTGAGTACTTGGAGTAATTCTTTCCATTAAATTGGCTTGTCCTTGCAAAAAATATAAAAAATGTCTGGTGCATGCAAATACTTTGAAAATAAATAAAAATAATAAAGCATGCTTAAAATTTTTAAAACAAAATGGCATTTTTTAAAATTTTAATTCTAAATTTTTAAAAACAAAAAAGTTATCAAACAAGGCTTGAATGTATTAGATTATCTCCATCTAATAATGTTGAATGTTTTGGTGGAAGGAAATTTCTATCATGAGAACCGTGATAGTAAAGCCAGTTTTTCTGCAATTATCTTCATTTGATCTTCTGCAACTGGGCTCTGCAGACTATAGTTGAGCCCAATGCTGGTGGATTTGGTCTGAAAATCGATCTACAACAGCCCAATGTGTAAAACTTTTTTGCTTTAATGTAATCTTAGTGAAAATCCTACGTGATTTGTGATTAGATCAAGATTAACTTATTCCAAATCCCAATTAATTCAAAACACTCAACCTAAAATCATTAAACACTTACGAGAGTGATTTTAGTTTGTTTGTTTTTGAGAATAAACAATAAATCGACACAAACGATTTTTTACGTGGAAAAAACCACAATTGAAGAACCTTCAATTGTAAAAAAAAATCACGGGCGAACCGCCACTACCAATCCACTACTGAAGAACGAAAAAAAATTACAAAGATACCATACAAATTACCCAACCCAGTCAATTTGTCTCTGAATCTTCTGTAACTCTTTCACCACACCTTCGTCACGGAATTGATCCTGAAGTTGATTCCACACCACAACTTCACTTGTCGAATTAACGACTGCGTAGAATCAAACGCCTTTTGGATTCTACGCTTTAATCTTCGGAATCCACCGAAGAGAACTTACTTGAAACTTAAGAAGCAACCTCCTTGATGTATGAATCTCAATGCATAAGTTCAGAACTCTCTCAAGAACATCAAGGAAAACTATGAAAAATCTCCAAAGAAAACTTTAAACACAACCCTAGTGCTTGTAGATCAGATCTAGGAAAAAACTCTCTCAAAAAAACACCCTTAACAGCTTTAAATAGGAATCTGGATCCGCGATCTCCGCTCGAGCTCAACACAGCCCGCTCGAGCGGAATGACCAAAAACTGCGTGCGAACAAACTGAGATGCGCTCGAGCGTAGGAGAATCCGCTCGAGCGTAAAATCACACCCACCAGTATTTGTGCTTGCCCTGTCAAAATACTGAGACCTGCTAATATACGCTCGAGCTCACAAGGATCCGCTCGAGCGGACAGAACAAAAACACAAAAAATTACATTTGAATCAACACAATGTTTTGTCTCCGGATTTGACAACATAGGGAACTAACACAATTATTTATGTATATCTATGTGTACATATGTAAATTATTTTTAAAATAAAAAAAATTACCCAAAAATTTCATTTGGGAAAATGTTGCTCTATTTAGTCCTGAAAGTTTTCTTTCAAATCAATTAGTCCTTTTATTTATGGTATATTCTGGAGTTTACTTGTTTACCCTTGAGTATGATTTTGGTTGTGATTTTTGGATGGGTTGGTTATGGTATAGTGTTAATTTTTGAAATTTTTGTGGAGGATTATGTGAAGTGATTTGTGGGGTTAGTGATGTTTAGCTATTTGATGTGGGGAGACTGATGTGGAATCGTGGTGTTGTTGTTGGTTGTTATTTTAAAAAGAAAAAACTATATAAAATCCAACTGTACCAAGGAAGGATAACCAGAGAACAACTGTACCAAAAAAGTGTACCCAACTGTACCCACATAACATCTGTACCCACACAACATCACTCCCCCTTTTTGGCCGGGGATCAGAAATCAAGCATCGGGTGGCCGTGGAGACTGAATGAGACGGGCGAGATGGGTGAGAGTCGCCTCAAGCTGACCAAGACGACCATCAAAGGTATCGAAGCGAGCATCCAAAAAATCCAAGCGTCTGATCATGGCCTCCGCGAACTGCTGAAACAGAGCAGGAAGATCCGGAGGGGAAACAGGAGCCTGATCATCATCACCGGCTGCGGTGGCATCAAACTCGGCTTCTTCAGCAAGACCAGCAGCAACTCCTGCAGAAGGACCAACCCGGGATGACTCCCCCTTAATATGAGCCCAACTTTGAGACACAGTTTTCTTGGTAAAAGGGCGAGAAGGAGAGGCAAACTCATCATCTTCTAGGATAGGGGTCCCAAGGTCAGACAAAATTCGGTTGATCAAGCAACCGTAGGGAAGGCCAAGCTTTTTATGCCCATGAGCACCGATCATCTTTTTTATAATAAGGGAGGCGAGATTAATAGACCGGTGACGGGCAATACAGGACAAAATGAATCCTTGGTCTTGTTTGACCTCGGATGAGTGTGTGGTGACAATGATATTGGCGCAGACAATCAGATTAAGTAGTCTGAACTCCGGAAGAAGTTCAAACTGTTTAATCAAACCTCCTTTAGGCCAATGACGGGCAACACCACACAGTTCCAAAGCCACATCATCAAAGTTACAAGTAGGACGATCTTCTGTGTAACCCTAATTCTA